TACAGTATTACTGCATTATAAATATCCACAAATATTAAAGGGATCTTATTGTAAAGTGTAAAACTGTACAGTATTTTGGATGAGGTGGGATTATTTGGTTAACATGATGTTTTTTTTTAACTTTTTCGATACATCAACATTATTGACAGTTACATGTTTGAACAATAATTTCAAATATTGAAAATCAACACTAAGTTTTAAAAGTGATGATTTTTCACATTAAACACTAACTTTTAGCATTTATAAATGTTTATTTGTCATTAATAGTGTATTACACTTTATGATAAGTCTCCCTTTGACAGTTGTGAATATTTGTAATACAGCACAATATTAATATGTTAAAATATGTTTCTTATCGTTATTGTAATTACAATGTAGTAACTTAGTGTGAAATGTTTAATAAGCACCTTTAGATGTAATATGTACGTGAACAGATTTGTCTCTTTCTCATCCTTAAAAATAGCATAATAAACATTTATTAATGGTTTATTAAGTGTTTACAAATGAATTAATAATCTTTCGATAAACTCTTTATAAACCATGAGAGCCTGATAAAGTACAAAAAACTTTGCACAGTAAATTCTCACCAGTTTTTCATACATTTTACTGTACATAGATAAAATAATCTCAAACACAACATGTGATAAAATCCAGTCGTTTGTCAGATGAAAGACTTTTTACAGGATTGTTGACATTTTAAGAAGAGAAGAAGAACTCTGTCAGCTTGATTCATTCTGGACTTTAACATTTGACTCATCAGCACCTCTAGTGTTTGAACACAGAACTGCATCCACCATCATCACTCCCAGGTAAAGGACCGGTGAGTGACAGGACAGGGGCACTTCAGGGGGCCAATCAGATTACATCTGGGGCCAATGCCCCTGTGGCCCCGCCCCTAGAACCGCCCCTAAACTCTGCTGGATGAGAAGCAAAACATTTCATTAAAGAAAAACACATCCAGAGGATCTACTTACGTTATTTTATTATTTTAATTAATTAATCATTAATTAATGTATTTATATTGGGTTGTATCATACAACATAATTTATTCATTTTTTAAACAGGTATTTTATTTGTACTGTTGGGGAATTAGAAGAAAATAAGATTTATGTTGTAAATGAACTTGACCTTTGTCCCCTTGATGCCCAAATCTAATCAAACTGATGTGGAGAGACATATTTTTCAAAATACAATAAATAAATAAATACATAAATAAATAAATAAATAAGTAAGTAAAGTATTAATACATATTCCATCAAATACCTAAATGTCTCCATGAAATAAAACAAAATTAATATATATTTTAATATGTTTATTAGCATGTCTTTATATTATTTATTTATAAAATTTTACCTTATTTATTCATTTATTTATTTATTTATTTATTTATTTATT